TGTTTTCTGAGAGTTCTCTCAGAGAAAAACCTCCTAGGTGCCCCTGGAGGGAACAGACAGGGAGACCAATTTACTGGGTTATAAACCACACAAGTTAAAAATGTCCTTCTAAAGACACTCTAGACTTCTTATGGAAAGAAAAAACCACGCGCGAACAACAACCTTCTCCACAAATTTCAGAAGCGTGAAAGATTTTAAAGTTCATAGTTGAAAAAAAAAAAAAAAAGAGAGTACCTGCATTTAGAAGAGCTTTCGGCCAACATTAACAGCACAGCTGAACCCCCTCACCAACATACTCTTCCTCCCCAGGAGTGGGGCAAGCCCCTCATATCCTTTCTGTGGATGCACTCAGGTGTGGTTGATCTGGCTCTGCCCCTTAAGGACTCTTCCTTTCTTCCTTAGAAGTCCTTAAGGACTCTTCCCTCCTTCCAAGAGATAAGCTGTATGGGCTTAGGGACCTGTTGTTAGGTATGTTCGTTATTGAATTACTTCAAAACATTCACATTTGATTAGAATGTTTTCCAACCACAGCCGCCATTTTTTGCTGCAGCTTTATTTAAAATAAAGGAACAAATGAAGTGCTTTTGAACAATGGGAAATTCATCAGCTCAGGAGGGCACGACATTCGGAAGGATTCCCCCTCCATTGGGATGTAGCAAAAAGTTGGGAGCACGTGAAAGCAAGCGTTTGTAATAGAAAGAAACGCTGCAAACTTCAATATCCTACACACGGCAGACCGCTTACAGGTAAACAAACAGCAAAGAAGGTGGCAGGAGAACCAACGCCACCAAATAAATGACTGGCAGGAATTACAGCCCCAGCCCGGAGTCTTGCAGTTTCATTTTCAGATCGCTAAACCGCACGCCTAGGTCTGGATCTAGCAAAAGTTTGATATAGGATCTCAAACGCACTCACTGCATTTTGGGATGGGAAGGAGGAACACACGTTGGGATGGGAAGGAGGAACACACGTTGGGATGGGAAGGAGGAACACATGTTTCTAAGTCTTCCAAAAGTAGTAGGCTGGATGGCAAGGTGCTAGTTGTGAGGACACGCCACCTGCAAGGGGAAATGAACTTCCGATGCTGCGTAAACACGTACCGGCAGAGCTTTAGATGTTAATCCAGAGCTAACAGGACCTGGCTGAAGAAATTAAGGAATCAAACGTGGGAAGAGATTTTGTTTCAATTAAAGATACGCCTTGTTTGCATCAGTCCTTGGAAGAAGTTGTGATGTGTCCCCGACAAACCTTGTATTCATAGGACTGCTCCCAAAGCTAAGTAGCTTAGGTCTAGCGGAACTACCTGGGTGCAAGCATCCTCTTCCACTAGAGACACAAACACGCATTTTAGCAGGTGGTCTGCTGCACCCTGGAATTGAAGGACTCGTTTACCAAAGTTCATGGTATTTGTGATGAGTATCTCCAAGATCCGATTCACCAGATATCATGGACTTCATTCACCCACCCAAGCCCAGCCCAGGATACCTCTGCACCCAGACTCTACGCGTTGCCCAGGAACACAGCCAGGTACAAGCAAGGCAGCGTTTGCGCCTGGCCCCGTACGTGAAACAGAAGCTCTTTCCCAGCCAGTAAGGAGAGACGCTTACCCAGCCACGCTGGTGAGGAGTCCGGCAGTCCCCCATCCTACTCCGCAGGGCAGGAGCAGCAGTCCTGCCCAGCTGCGCTCACCTCCCCGGCAGCCCAGAGCTCCCCCTGCACGAATGACGTGGATTTCGTGTCAATGCCAACGACAGAGAAAGGGAAAAAAAAAAAAACCCCGAACTTGAATTTTTAATGCAAGGCTGCTATCAGTACCATAGGAGGGAATGACGAATCTTTCATTGCTGAGGTGGCATACCATAATTTTAATTGTTTTTCAAATAAGTACAATGCTTAGATTTACATTTTGCTGATTTAACAATTTGTGACTTTTTCACATAATCATTAAGCTGTTTTTTTTTTCAAGGTACATCAGAACACTCTCTATAAAAATACTTCTTTAAATGAAACATTTAAAAACACATTATTAGATCTTTGAAAAGCCATAGTCCTATTATATTTCATAATGCAAAAATGTTAGCAGCACAGATGTTTCAGTATTCTTTCCAATTGCATACATTCATTTAAGTGTTTAATTTTGATTTTGTTTTTGCCCCTTGGAAGTATTTAATCTTAGCTTTAAAGCCAATGGACTCGCATAAAAGCAGTATAGAATGGAAGTCAACTCTGGTAACATTATATTCGCACGTAAAGTGTTTACCACTGAAGAGTGATTTACAATGTATGTTTATACTTAATACAGTAAAAATAAAACCAAACTGCATATACCATGTCTGACATTTTCAGTATCTTCTAGATATCACTTTCTCTTTTCTTTTTCTTTTCTTTTTTTCCCCCAAAACACATTTTCAAAATCGTACACTCATTTTGAGTGCATTGATTTTTGGTTGCTCTATCCGCTACCTCTCTTGCCCCAGTTTTGTGAAGACTTGCTAAATGCAGTTCCCACTGATTAGAAAAGAAGCTGTTGATGCTCTCAACTTCTAAAAAAATGAAGTCCAGGATAATGCAGAACGATAAACCAAGGACTGAGACAGCAGAGGCTGTTGGCCACTACTGAGAACATCGGTTATAAAGTCCCATTTGCTTCTCACATAGATACCTGAGATATCCTCAAAATTTCCTGAGAGTTTTGCCAAAAGAGATGAGAGGATATTTAGACCCTTATTTATAGTGGTTTTACATCCTCAGATCTGCTCTTTGATGGTGCGGTTCATTGCTTGCTTCAATGGAAGCAGCACGTACACAGTATGTAGTCTGTCATCACATAGTTCTATACAGATTTCTTAAACTTTTCTGACCGTGAAGAAAGGAGTTGTGTCTGACAGGCTGTGATTTACGGGACATGTTCTGGAGACCAAGCCCTATACCCATCGTTGTGGATGGCAAGAAGGGAAAGAAACTAACCATCGGGGCATCAGTAAGTTTTAGCTCCGTGTGCAAAAACAACACGGTCCTTCCAAAAATAGGTCAAATCAGTGAACTTCTATTATTTGTCCACCATTTGTGAGAGTCTCTTCTCTCTTCTTCGTGAGCCGCAATAAGAAGGAACGAACAGACCGTTTCCCAGAAAAAAAATACTGCAGAGACAGCCAGAACGCTGCCCTCTTCGTCCCACCTTGCAGGCACAAGTTAAGTTATAGATATAGCTGGATATATCTACAAGCAGTAGATACAACACGGATGAGATCTGCATAAGATTGGAGATGCAGTTCATCCTTTTTAGTCCGTAGGGACCCTCTGTTTAGGTTGCTCTAACTCTCTGGATGATGCCCTTCCTAGCCTACAGCTGGACTAGGGTTAAGAGAGGGCAGAGAAAGCTCTCGCCTACCCCAGGGCATCTCCTCTTCCACACGTGACTCCTTCACTGTGCTTTAGAGACAAAAGTTTCCCGCTGCGGAACCAGGAAAGGAAACATATAGCAAGCCCATTCCTAACTGCAGGGGGGGTCTAAAGATGGAAGCTCGATTTATAAATCGTAATATGGCAACAAAGGAGCATCGCTATGGGCTTGCAGCATCTTCCTCCCCAAAAAGCTATAGCAAAAGTTGGTTTTCATGGACGCCTAGCAACCGCTCACCCAGCTCTGCACGTGGGAACTGGAACGATTCCATCCCACGCAGCCCGTGGAGGTGCTCACTCTGACCTCACTGGATTTTCAGCTGGGCTCTGCTAGGGCACTGCTAAATACAGCATATCTATCTTACATACTTAATTATCAACTTGATATGCTAGAGGCGGGATTAAGACCTCTCATTAAAATAACTACACCCAAAATCTGGATCAATCCTGGTTAAATTTAACCAGGTGGAATGGTATATATCGGCTCTGTTGCAGCTGGCCTTAAACTGCATTTTGCCCAAGTGGAAGGGCGACTGTTGTACGCACGCTCAGAAGTGGGCCTGAATTTCTCTTACATTTCTTGCCATCCCACCCTGTTACCTTTTTAGTCGGTCTCTGCCTGTAGTGATGAAAATGGTATTTAGGTCAATACGTTCTTTCTTAATTGCATTAGCCATGTGCCTAAGACTTAGGCTTACTCTTCTCCCGGCACTGCCTTTGGCTATTAACATGTGGTCTTTAAATATATTTCACTCTTAACAGTGTACTTAATCTGTCAGGTGAGATGGACAGAGTCTATTTTAGGCAGACTAAGATGATCAGTGGAATGCTAATTAGAAAATTCACAAGGGTGGAGAGACCCCTCTTTATAAAGAAACACAAGCCATTTTATACGCTACTTTTGTGTTCTGCATGGGAGGTCTAATTATATTCATAATACGTTTGGGGTTTTTTTATTGCTGCAACATCTTTTGGAACTTCACTTTATAAAAAGGATCATTTTCCCTTGGAAAAAAATAATGAATACAATATTGGCTTTTATGTTCCAAGGGGTTTTTTGAGTTTGGTGGTTTTTTTTTTTTTAAATCGTATTCTGTTAGCAAAACTTTTCCACACATGATAGCAAAGATCAGAACAGAAGTGTGTTCAAACCCACACCCACACACATGTATATATCTCCGGAAGCAGATTCAGCAAATGGAGAACCGCTTCTGGCCTGGAAATGGAAAATTACTGTACTAGTAGCATGGCAAAGCCCAGCAGAAGGAGCTGCATTACTTTAACTAAGGGCATCAAAATCAAATGACCCTTGAGAGGTCTATATTCAGATGTAAAGAAAAATGCCTTCTCCCTGTTTATTTATCGAACGCCGTTGGATCCTACATACTAGCCAAAATCCAGACAGCCAGCTGATAATGAATTATTGAATTCCAACACCAGCAGAGACTAGAAGTTTCCTTTAGCTAAGCTGAAGTTTTGAGTTTAACTTTATTCCCAAGGACATTCACTACATTTTGAGCAGGAAATAAATATCCTGAAACTACTGGCTAACTGTTCAGCTTTGAAAGATAATATTTGTTCCGAATGCCTCAAGATTAGGGCTCTGCAAAATACTTGTCAGAGGACCTCGGCCCTTTCCCTTGTGCTGCGCCCATCACCGCTCGGTCCAGGCAGCTGTGGGGTAGCGTTCCAAGAGCGCGTTCCTCAGCTGGGCTGTGTGGATCTTGTCTCTGGTCTCCACGGTGCAGGTGACCTGGGAAAAGAATTAGGACCATTTCTGACGGCACGGCAGCAGTCTCGGACACGGGCATTTCCGACTCAATCCTAAAATACACTCGTAAAAACAAAATGATCAGTTCAATGGAAAAAACCTCTGGACCTCGCATCCCCTGCCTACGCAGGTAAGAAAACTGACATTGCAGACACCCGGGGCTCTTCCAGCCCTTCTGCACGGTCTTAAAACCTTCCAACAGCCCTACTTTTTATTGTCTCCAAAGTTTGAAGAAGATAGACTGATCCTCTGCCGGCTCCTGGGCAGGTACTTGTCTGCTGTTGGCCTCTCTGAAGTCATCCGTTAGCAGCTTCTCTTTCCCGTTCCCTGGGGTATGTACGTGGTGCTGCTGCCACCTCACCCATCTCTGACTCTTACCTCACCCCATTTCCCGCGTTTCTGGGCAGTGTTTGTTCCATCCTTCAAGCTTTTTATATTCTGCTCCTCTTCTCTCTCACAGAGTTCTCCCCCGGTCCTTTATCGTCTCTGCAGTATTCTGGCTGGTTTCATCTACTCGCACACCACCTTGTTTTATCCCGATTTTCTCTTTGCTCATTGCATCACCTCTAGTTTTCTGTTATGGTTGTTCTGCTGCTAAACCAAACTAAACCCAGGCAAACCTAATCTTGATAGTTTCCTTTTTATTTTTCACTTGCCTCCACCAGTATTATTGACAATCCTGTCATGCAGCCACTGAAGTCAATAACTTCAATGTCATTTTTTCAATTCTTCTTTAATCCCTTTTGTCTACATACTCACGTCTCTACTGCATCATTTGAAAATCTGGGCACTACCAAAGGTGAGGCACCAATGCAAAGGCGCAGAAGGAAAATTATACTTCACAGTTTTAGACTACTAACTTCTGTCACCGCTGACCCTGTTGGAATTATCACTGCCGCTGAAGGTGCCACGTGGAAAAAAGACCTCACAGAAACATGGAAATCTAGCGAGAAAAGGATCCAAGGTGAGTCACGGTGCAACAACAGAGAGTTTAGTGTAACAAGCAAATCTACAGAGAACGGATTAAAAACTGGCCATGGTAACCTTAAGGTGGACTACTAGAGACAGATGCCCTGTATGACGTTCCTATCAGAGCTGCATCCTTTGCAGAAAGCAACAAGGCAAAAAGTAAATTTCTCTCTACTCAACTACGTTTATGAGGACATTTCTAAATAAGAACTTTGTGAATTCATGTTTCCGGGAATAAGCTTAATGTATCAATAAACCTTTAGCAAAACTGTTGAATGAGACGATGAAACACTAACTCCAGGCTATTCTAAACAGCCGTGAGCTCACTTAATTAGAAAACTGGCTGTAACTTCTTAAATATCCATCATGAAATTAGCCACATTTCTGACCTGTTTCCGTAATTCTTTGCCCCTTATCCTGAACATAGTTCTGTTCTTGTTTGGTTCTTTGGAACACAAATTAGATGCTAATTTCTTTCTCCTCTGAAAAAGTGGGATTTAGTCTCAAGAGAAGGACGGTCACAGAAGACAATTAATAATGAGGGAGGAGGAGAGAACACAAAGATTGGGAAAAGTATCTAAAGGATATCTAGGCACCAACGTACCAAATACCCATTATCCATTCCCCGGTTCATATAAAATCCCTAAAGCTTTGCAGTCTTATCTTCAAGAGCACACGCTCATCTCTCACCGAGTCTGTAATTAAAAAAAAAAAAAAAGGCAACCTTCTTCCCCTTCCACAGCAGTCCTGCCTGTTTTGTCCTGAGCAAATCAATTGCTCCACTTGGAACCAGTCTGGACTTGCCAGGTTCAGCTTTGAATGTTTGGCAGCGAGGAGTTGCTCTGCCCTGGGAGCAAGCATGGGAAAGCATTTTGATTTATAGAGCTAACTGTCCTCCTCTCTGCCCTTTTCTTTCTGCTAATGATTGAAGCCAGACGGACTTGGATAGATTGGAGCCAGGGAGCTTGTAAACAGTTTGGATAAATACAGTCTTTTTGTTCCGTGCATGTACAGCATCCAACACGTGATACGGCCATTAATACGCTGTAGCGTATTGTAAAAGTAGTAACAGCAGCAGCAGCAGCGATAATAAACAACTCCAGAAATTTACCTGATTTTTCAGACTTGTCAAATAAAGGAAGAGAGAACATCTGCTCACAGCAGGAGCGAACAGAGAATCACGCTACACTTTAGAGCAGCCACAGATCTAAACAGCAAGAAAGGCAAGAATTTGCTTTCTTGCTCAGATTAAGCCGATTTACGCTGCAGTTTCGCCTTCGCAGAACTCCTCTCTCTTATTCGCTTCACCCGGGAAGTATGATTTGCATGAGTGTCCAACAGGGCAATCCTCATATTCTTGGGGAGGTATATAAGGATTATATTTATCTAGGAGGAAGAGTCACCTAGGCACTACTAGCTACAGGAGGTTGCATACCTACCGATGAACTAAGAGTAAGTGCTCCAGATCATTCTTATTTAAGAACAAATGACAAAACCTATTGCCTGATGTTTCTTATACTCCAGACACGACAACCCATGACAACTAGAGAAGACTTTACTTCAAATTTGTTTCAAACCCATAAGCCCTCAGTACTAGACACGGGCTTTTTGATCCAGCGGAGCTCTCATTGACTGCAGGACCGTGTTTGCACAGCGCACATTTCTTTGCTGTGTATCAAAAAACCCACAAACAACCAACCACCAACAACAAACGAGTACATTTTATGCATTTCTTTCCTGCATATTATGTCCTTGCCGGATCAAAATAATAATAATAAAAAAAATTATCTGGTCCTGTAAGACCATTAAAATAACCAGCCAGATGGATCTTTTACTGCATTTAGAGTTCCGCTCTCTGTGGCGGGTAATCTAAAGATTGATTCCAGCCTAAGGGTTTAGGTTAGCCTGCCGGGTTTTTTTACAGCAGGCCTACAACTAACGGAAGACAGAACAGTCTTCACTGAATACTGATGTCTTGTGGGTTTTATTTAATAACTAGAAATAATTGAGGGAGCAGGACAAAGGCTGAAAAAAAGATAGAGGAAAAAACTGATCACAAGTTATTACTCTGTGCAACACCAAAATCCAGATGCATAAATTAAAATAGTCATACGAATTAATTCCATTTCAAAGAAAGAAAAGTTCATAACTTCACAAAAGGAGGAAATTTGCGAAGTTCTGTGCTGAATAATTTGGGAACAGGGCGGGCACCTCTGCTCCCTTTTAACTGCAAGTCTCACATGTGGGCACATAGCCTCTTAAATCATATTTTCCTAGATATTAAAAATTAATTTGGCACGCCTCTCAACTCCCTGATGCCTGATATCTGTAGGTTGTGTGTGCAAATAAAGATACTGGATGGACATGCCAAGCCAATGCTAGAGAGCAGAGGAAACGTGAGTAGCATTGCTCAATCAAAAGATTTCAGTCTTTTGTGCTTTTCCAGGCTCCACGTAAAGATAGATCGTAACCAGCTCGTGCAATTCCTTATGTCCCTGACTCATCCGTTGAACCTTTGTATCCCACTTCTTTAATCCTAGAAACCATACTCATCATCTTCTTCTAAACTGTTGGTCTCGGAGGATTCACATAACTCAATGTTCACGATACACCATGCTCGGCAACAGTACAGGTTTGTTCTCGTGAAAATCACTGGAGTTAGAAATGAAAACTTTATTTATATACACTGGTTTCAGTTCTATAAATAAAGCACGGCTTTTCATTTCTATTAAAAAAAAAAAACAACCAACAACTGGGCAATTTTCTGAATTATTCAGTAAACACCCAGTGTAGGTTACTGCACATTACAGATGATTTGGCAACAGCTCTTCAGTTTATGGTTTGGGGATCAGCTGCCAGACGGTCCCCAAGGTCGGCACAATGCAATGCTTGAGAAAGAGCGTAACAGCTGCCCCAGCTGTCAGTCGGTTGTGCAACCTGAGCCCTTATTTTTTGGCATATTCTTGCATTCAAGGTGGTGAGCACGAGCACCAACAAGTTACCGTTGCGTTACCTAAGTCAGATAATGATCCAACAGGTCTACTCGTAGCCTCCCCGGAATCAGGTTCTTATTTCTACAACCGGGGCCGGCTATTCTGCACCGCGTTGGTCTGCTGTGGAATGCCATTAAAGAAAATGACCGAATTCTTTCGGAGGGCCTCAGAAGAAATGTATCGTTGAACTTCCCACCCCAAGTGACTCTGTTTTGCAGATGGGGAACTGTAGCACGGAGACAGTGCCTTGCCCAGGGTTGTGCAGGAAATGTTTTAGGAATGATAGCATCCTTCTCGTAGCTGGACAGCTGCGTTATCCTCTGTATTCTCTTCACAGGATGACAACATGGAATATGTTGGCAACTGGGGACTCTAATCCAAAATATTCTCCTCCAGCCTTTTACGAAATGCAAGTTGGCCCAAAGGAATTGACTCAAATTGACCAGAGCAGACTAAAATAATGTAATGAGTTCTGGCCTGAGGTGAGTAAACTGTATGGAAAAAAAAGGTATTACACGACACAAAGTGAGCCAGGAAACCCAGCACCGCTGGGACAAGGTGTAATGTTATCATAAAGAAAAAGCAGCATTTGATTTATGAATTAGTATTTTGTTGCACAGTCAGAGGGAGAAGTAATGTGATGGATGTTCTTTTTACAACTGGTCTCTCTTCTGAGTTATTTAAAACCGCAGCAGAGTTAAGCTCCTGAGAGGGTTGAAGTGAACAGACGAGACGACCCCGTAATGTCAAACAGGACCGAGGTCAGAGGGAAAACTGCCACCGCAGCTGCTTCCCTGCAAAGCTGCGGGAGCACCTCAAGACCCTGCAGGCCCTCGCTGCTCTGTTCCAGGACCCTCCTGTACCGGCCAGTCTGATTATGCTGCAGCGTCAGTGGTGAGGAGAAGACTTTTCTAGAAACTCGATGAGCTCAAAGATACTTTTTTTTTTTTAAGCTGAGTTGCCCGAGTCCAAATATGGGACACCCGTTAAGCAGGCAAGCCGCTGATCTATGGCAGAGCCTTGCATGGCTTCATAGCAAAGACAGTTCTTACCTTATTAAGTCACTTATTGATTTTGCTCATTGACTTCTCTCTGAGTCAATAACAGTATGAAATTAAAAGGGATTTAAATGGTTATAAAGAGGTTTACAGATGGAAGCAATTTAAGCGATAAATTGTCCCACATTGAATCTGAGGAATATTACTGAAAAAGAATAGGGAAAGTTCACAGAAGCGAGTTGTAGCTTCCTCCCACGAACTGGGTAATCCTTTAGATCCCTATATCCAGTTAGCTGGTGATGCTAGATGATTTTTTTCCTTAGCTCTGACCTTTATTTCTGTCTAGATATTCCTGGTCATCTAACCCGCTTCAATAGCTGTAAAATGTGAAGCCTACCAGACCAGTTATTTGTATGATTTGCTAAGAGTTATCTATTTCAATATTGGGACTTCGGAAGCCGTTTCCTAACTGCTCAGGTAAGAGTGAATTAGGGTGTAGTCCTCTGCAAGAAAGAAATCCAGCAGGAGCCACAAGGAAAGAGAATCTAAACTGGAGGTACGAGCAGGCAGCATCCAAAACAAACTCCCGTTTTGTTCCAAAGAACGTGACCAGCCGATCCCACTGCACAAGGCACTTCATTAAGATTCAGCTGAATCTGATGTAGCCATAATCCTTCTTTATTTATTTTAAAAAGTCTCTTATTTTTGCCAGTAAAATGTTCCAGAAGTTCTTTTTCCAAAAGTGTAGTTTGAACATAAAGCTTCATTTTAGAAAGTCCTTACTACTCCATGAAATCAGACTATCAGCAGGGATCTTCCCACGGAGCGTTCCAAGCGTGCGCCAGATGAATAAACACTAACCCAGCAAGGCATTTCACTAGAGGGGAAAAAAAACGCTCTATCTTCCTGATAAGCAGTGACTAGAAGCCAAGTTTCTCTCCTTTGGAAATGAAGTGGTGAATCTAAAAGGATGATTAAATACTGAGACGACAATCTTGACAGGACTGATTTAGTGTTCCAAATAAGCCACTACACTTACTGCTCTGTTCTGTCCAACACTTCATCTATTTCCACAGCCAAAAGCGCGTATTAAAGTTAGAGTGGAGCAGGTGTAGCTGTAATGCCTTTCGTATTATTACCACCAGTTCAACACATGATAATTTTGGTTCTTGCTCCAGATTTAAATGCATTCTTAATTCAACGTGCTGTGATTTACACTGATGAAAATGGTACAAAGTTCTTTGCAGATCTGCTTTAGTAGCAAATGCTTAAAATGCTTTGCTGACACGGGGCTTTGGTTCTTACAAGCAACAAGGAAAAAAAGCAAAACCTCCCCCACGTGTATTAGCTTTACTATGAAAATATGTACATTGTTCTATATCTGGTTAGAGCAAATGCATTTCGATGCTTAAAGACAAGTTCAATATTTTATCCTTTTGATTACCCTTGTTTTAGTTTTCAAAGAAAAGCTTCACGATTCGCTAGGTGTCACCAGGTAGAGCTGCCTCCCAAGTCACGAAGGTCTATAGATCTGGATCGCTACTTTGTACTTCACGTCTAATTACCCGATAGCCTCTCCCAGACTGATTAAAAGCCATCATGCAAATCCAACATCCAATTAAATTATTCAGGGATGCAAATTCCTCCCTTGAACCCTCTTGTAGTACAACACTGTCAGATCCTTGAGGCAGACAGTCAGTGAAAATACATTGTGTTTAAGGCACAGACAATAGCACGTGGCACTTTTTCATTCAGGGTCTGTCTTTACTGCAGATTCTGATAAAATTGCCTCATTGGGAGAGGTTGCAAGTGCAATGGAAAACTGTTCTAACACTCTCAATCAAAAACTAAGAGAGTGGATTTTGTTTAATTTAGTAGCATTAATAAAAACTACAAGCCTTACTTCATAAAAATCACATTGAAAGCTTTAGAAGAGTTACAGGGTTTGTCGAATCTAGCCTTCAGTAAAAAGGTTTTTCAGAACTAAGTTAGTCTCTGAATCAGAGGGATTTGTCTAACCCGTGCCGTGTCACGTTATCTGGCCTATCGTTACGGCACACTGCGGAACAATGTCGTTTTAGTCCTAGACACTTGAGAAAACTGATAATATCATGTTCTGAAAGACGTTAGTGAACTTCATTGTAGTCCTTTGCTATAGTCGTCTTTAATCTAACCTATTCTTTATATCCGCAAGTGAAAATGCTGAGCTGGTTTCTGCATCCAGGTGGGAAATTAGATTTAAATGCCAAAATCGAAGAACTCGCTTACTCAATAGCATTACTGAATTCCAGTTATGAGCCTGTTTAGCAAAGATCCCGAATTTGACTTCCACCCATGATTTCACAAACTAAGTCAGGCTGGACTCGGACAGCAGTAGCATGAAATCAGTGGAACCACACCTTTGCCAAACCGGTTGGAATAAGAGGCAGGCCGTGAGACAAACGATCCTTTTGAGAGATGCCATTAACTGATAACACCTCCTCACTGTTATTGTATCAAATACTCAACAAAGGAATAACAATTTTGCTCTGTGCTCTTTGTGGATAAGGTACAAAACTGAGGCCCTGCTTGAAGATGAGGATCCCTTAAGAGTAAGGGTGTTCTCCGCATTGCTTTAAGGCAAATTGATCTCCGATAATTACAGCCAGCCGACACAGCCGGCTCTTCAAGTTCCAGACCGATGCTGCGGCTTGCTCACCACCTCCGGCACGCCACCACGCACGTAAGGAAGGTTTGCAATAGTAACAGCTGGAGTATTTCACCCACGGTGTCGCAATAGCAGGTAAAACAGGTCCTGCATTATTTATATGCCTGCTAAGTGTTTGGTGGGGCAAGATGCTGTATAAGACAGCAGAAAGTATCTATCACAGCGCTCCCCAAATCGCTGTGCACACTCTATTGGACTTCCTCAACATAGTCATACAGAGATACAGGAAAACAGAATAAAGTAGGGGAGGTCAGTACCGCTCGAGAAACTGAAGTTGCATCTCCTCTTACCTCGACGGTGAAGAGCTCAGATGTCACAAACGCGCGTTCTTGTTTGATATCCAAAACTCTAGATCAAATAAGGGATAAATTAGAGATAACAGCAATCCTTTGTCATTGTAAAATAGTTTCTGTAAGTGTCTGGACAGTAACTATCTTTGCTGCTTTCTGTATTAGACACTTATTCTATGCTGCAAAGGTGCTTGCACATTGAAACAAAAATGAAGGCGATAAGAGTTCTTCTGAAATATAACATGAAAAACCCCTTTGATTAATTAGTTACTTACACACTTGCCTTCAGAGAACATTTGGAAACACGTCCAAATCTTTAGTAATCTTTGTCCTATTCTGTGATTGTATTTCCCTACTATTAGTCTGATTTACCTTGCTTCTTCCCGAGCCAAAATCTCCAGTAGCTTTGAAATGTCTCCTGGGCAGTCAGAAAGCACAAGGGAAAATCTGCACACTCTGTTATCGAGGGTCAGGGCACGAGCTACGCACTGTTGCAGCAAATGTAATTCCAAGTTTCCACTGCATATAACAACTGCCACTCTGAAAACAGAGAGAAAAATAAGATTTTTGATTAGCACTTGTCTGTGCAAAGGAACCATAAATCACAGACACTGGATTCAATATCAGCTTAAGATCTGCTAGGACTGCCCTTCGATAAACACGTATTACACGTCAGAGGGGCTCCTGACTCTCAGTATCGGTTGTGGGCGGGCAGTGGGAGCCTAGAAGCTGGCTGCATTAGTTGGCCTGAAACTTTGCTTTCATTTTGCATTTCCTGGAGATTTTAGTTTTGTTAGGGATAATTAGCTGGAGAATTCCAGGTCCGTTTCAAATTTTAAAAATGTGACATCATTTTTCCCCGGAAGTTCTGAGTCTCGGCCTCTGAATGGTTAGACAACATGTATGTTCAAGGCTTTCTGTAACCATTCATTAAATCCATCTCAACCCCGCAAAATGAGCGCAGAAACGTTTGAAGAGCAAGCGAAGAGCCACATGGTTAGTCCGTGATAATCTCTCTCTGCAGAGTCAAACCTGCCCTCTGTAAAACCAAACCTTTGCACTCTCCCTTTTATTTTAGCCGTACTGAACCGAAATTTGTTGCTGCTCTGTACGTACTCTGTCAGCCTCTTCTGAAGAATTGCCTCAGCAGTATTTTAGCGTACAGCGCTATGCATTGCAAATTTTGTTTTGTCTTGAGTGCATGTATGTTTAAATACATTCTGGGCTACGTCCTGAGCCAGGGCTCAATCCGCTTAAGTACTGAGTACTCAAGCTCAGATGCAAGAAGGCACTTACCCACACGTTTAACGCTAAGCACAAGGGTAATCCCATTGACTAGGTGGGCAGGAGTTCTCGGGGCTGGGCGGCTGGTGCCGCTGAGCGACTGCAGAAGATGGCCTAGCTCCTGTCCCACCACAGACAGGGCTGATTTCCACAAGTGGAATGAGAGAAGGCAACAGGCTGACAAAAGCAGGATGCTCTCCTGGCAGACGTGACCATGCCTCGTGGTTGCGTGTAACTGCCTTTCCCCCAACCATTTGAAAATACCGGAAAATGACAAGATTTGTCAGGTCTCCAGGCTGACATTTGCCTTGTTCAACATGGTCTTCTGACCTGCGGGTGGTCTCTTCAGCCTGAAGTAGATGCCACAGATAAGCCCATTGCCGGTTCAGGGGCAGGAACTGCCTCGTCACTCATAAAACAAGAAGCTTCTCCCTGTTTCCAGGGACCAAGGCGCTCAACCCCACGCTTTTGCCACGGTTCCCCATGTGCAATAGCTGCTGTACCTTTTACCCTTCAACTCCGGCAGCTTCCCTGCAACCAACGCTGCAAGTCCAATGGCCCCTTCCGCATCAACTGTGGCTCGCTCATACTCCAGCAATCTCAGAATCGAAATGAGGATGTCCTCCTCCCTGAAAGCACAAAAGTTGTGTCAAAACAAAACAAAAGAGCTACCAAAAGCAGAAGACAATACATTTATGTATAACTGGATTCCTTCCATCCTCCCAGGTACGTACGACCCCAAGGTGGTGTTACAGAAAGCTGTGCTGCTGAGGGTGAATGTACATCTCAGTCTTGTTATTAACTGAAAGACAGGACGGCATTTTTTACTGCAACCATTGTGCTAGCTAAATCCTAGCGGTAAGTATACTCTGCCAACTTGGCCCTTCTGTGAAGATTTAGAAGAGTTTTGTCAAAGGTTGCCTTCAAGTGTTGCAGAACGCAACAAGGACAAGTTTTACACCCAGAGCATGACCAAGTACTAGCAGCAGGTGAAGTTTTGGCCAAAGGGGTCAGTCTGGACAGCGCTCTTAGTCATATGATTTAGTTTTAGGTAGCCCTGCGAGGAGCAGGGAGTTGGACTAGATGATCCTTTATGGGTCTCCTCCAGCTTGACATATTCTATGATTCTATGGTATGTGGGGTTGGGTTCAGTGTCTTCAGTGCCCCTCTTGGAAGGAAAGGCACCCCACCACCACCATGGTCTCACAGTGTGTGCACGATGGCAACTCCTGACAACCTGCTCTCCCCCCTGTACATGAAGAACCACCATACCCTGGTGGTACAGCACATTTTTCATATACAACAATGTTCACCCAGTATTATTCATTTCACTGTTTTTCTTCACCTACCTCACAGCAACAACTTTATCCACGAGTTTCCCAGTCAGCTGCAAAGAATTGCTGCCAAAGCAAAGTCCGCTCGCATCTGCAGATTTCAAAAGACAAAAATATGAAGGTGGCCGCTTTAGACAAGTTCAACATTTTTGAGAGTCCTGGCTGTTTTGTGCCCTTAATGAGTGCAGCACACTGCTGTTATATGAACTTGAGTTGCTTGATTTTTTTATGTGACAAAAATACGTTTGGTAACGGAAGACCAAATCTCACAGGAAGATTTCGCCACTTCAGATCCCTTTATGAAAATTATGATTCTTCACTGGCATAGCTGCACTGCGAGAGTGACCCTGCAGCCCAGCGCTTTCCACTGTTCAACGAGGCTTGAAGGAGAGAAGAACCAAGCGTGGCACTGGGCTTGTCAGCTACAGCAGGACAGTTAGCAAAGGAGCGCAGAGACAGGCAGAGCTTACTGAGAGAGTTAAGGAGTTCTTTGTTTATAAAACTCCCATTTAACCCAAAGCTTCCAGAGATTTGAACATCAGGTAAACAGGATATGCTTAAATTGCTTAACAGTTGAGGTTTTTTGAGCAAATGATGTAGAAACAACTGTATCATTTATAAACACTGTTGTTCCGAGAATAGTTTTCTGAGTCTAAATATTTAAGCACCGCATTTTCCTGCCTTTTCACAAATGAGTCTTTTACATGAGAGCTTTCCCATGGACTTCACTGGTTAAGATGCTGCTTGTGAGCACAATGTTCAGATAAATACTCTCATATTTCTAAGTATTATAGAATCATAGAATAGTTCAGTTTGTCCCCATCTTTTTTAGAAGCCCCCTTGAAGTACTGACAGGCTGCAATAAGGTCTCCCCGAAGCCTTCTCTTCTCCAGGCTGAACAACCCCAACTCTCTCAGCCTTTCTTCATAGCAGAGGTGTTCCATCCCCCTGATCGTTTTCGTGGCCCTCCTCTGGACCCGCTCCAACAGGTCCATGTCTTTCTTATGCTGAGGGCTCCAGAGCTGGACGCAGTGCTCCAGGGGGGGTCTCACCAGAGCAGAGT